GGGGGGGGGGGGGGCAGGTAGGTGACCAAAACAACCAAAAGAAAAAAAAACAAGTCGAGTGTTGTACAGTATCTCTTTTCATGTTCAGCTTGTAAGGAGCACCTCGCCAGATTGTTGTCGCGTGGTAAGGGTCAAGGAACACGCACAACCACATGAAGCGCGAAAGACACGCCGTGAGAGGGAAGCCCGCGAAATCGAGGAGGTTTTGGCGATTTTGGTCCGTTCAGACTACTGCAGCCTTCTTATCGGTGAGCTGATTGGTTGGCACACACACACATACCCGCACGCAGGCGGAGCGGAGATCAGACACCAAGCACAACGCATGCCCCACAAATATCTCCTGACTTTCGTCCTCTCATGGAGAACCGCGCAAAGCTCCCAAGCACATCACAAGCAAAATCACCAGACTCGGCTCAAAAGGGTAAGGTTACGCCCGAAGCGACGCCAACCATGAATGATGAATGTCGGTCCGAACCAGAGCATTGGCAGCAGCCCACAAGCACCAATACCCGAGCCTGTTCACCCTCCACCTGACAATACAATCGCGAACAATCGACTCCTCCCTTCCCGGCGCGGCCGTTGTTTCCTCCCCCCCTCCCAAACTACCGTTGATCCCGCGGCCTGCTGCCACCACAACGCCTGCAACGGCACTCAAAAGCCACGAAGATCCTCGGTCTGTCGGTACACGCAGTTTCCCACAAGACGACGCAGCACACGTCAGCAGGAACACACACTCACGGAGCCTCCTCTTCCTCTTCTTCTTCCTCCGCAGCGGTCGCCGCCGCCGCCGCCGCCGCCACCCCGCCGCCTTTCCCCGCCTCTCGCCGCCGCTTGCCGGGGCTCGTGACCTCCCCCGCTTTAGCCTCCGCGGAGGCGCCCCCCTTTTCCTTCTTCGCCTCCCCTGCTTGCGTTGCCTGCTTGCCGACACTGCATGAAGGGCGTCGCCGTTTCGTATAGAGTCCGTCAAGGGGTGGGGCGTTGGAGGGGGCGACAGATTGCCTGTTGTTGTGCCTCTGTCAGGTAGTTCTGGCACTTGCGTGGGCATGATTTCATTCTCAAGAGACAAACAACAAAGAAGGCAGGCGGGAATTGTGAGGCAAGAAACGAGATACAAGACCTGCCCGCCACTCCCCACATCGGGATAAAGAAAAAAAAATCCTCCATCATGGGGTCGTCTTGTGGCAACGGGGTATGGTACAATACGACACAGAAGATAAACACCACCGCTGCATGCACAGGCCTGGCGGGACAGTGATACCCAGCGCACGACACAAGGGCACACGGTGCGGTGCGGGGCTTGATATAGAACGCGAACAACACCCCGCCTTCGACTCAACGGCACGGCACGGTACGGTATGGTATCGTACGGTACGGAACGATACGGTACGGCACGGCACGGTACAGTGCGGTACGATCCGGTGCGGTCCAGTACGGCATCATCCGAGGGCCTTGATCTATACAGCAAACGAGCCCGAACTTCACTCAGCACAAGACTTTATTCTAAACAGCAAACGAGCCCCAAATTTACTCAGAACAAGACTTCACGCTCACCCAAAGTGCTGGAATATGTCGCTCTGCTTGAGCAGGAACTGCAGCCTGGCCGACGCCTGTCGACGGCAACAAGACACGGTGCGTCCAAGTACGGGCACACATGAGACAGAAGCGCAGCCCCGTCGCGAATCAGCAGGTGGTGCGTTACGGTTAGTAAAGGGTGACATGGGATACCCACACTCGCCTATGGCACATGACGTCAACTCCTCTGCCACCCGACTTGAAAGAGGATTGAACCGGGCTGCTCGCGCTGCTGTTCCGGGGGAACGGATCAACCAAATATAAACCTGTACCTGGTGCACACAGAGTAGTGGTCCCTGAACGCACACGGCCGCATAGTTGCGAGGGATTGGCCCGGCCTTCTACCTGTCCCCCAGCATTATTCAGAGAATAAGACACCTTGAATATTAACATTCCATCCGTGTCATGGCGATAGGCCTTTTATAAGCGGCCATAAAACAGGGACCGCTACTGCTGTACGCCCAACAGGTTTGATGCCAAGCAAGTTTCCCTGTGTGAGTGGAAGTGTGAAATGACTAACACCAGTTTCGTTGAGCGGGTGTCGAACATAAGTGACGCAGTAGGCCTGATCCATGCAACGCTTCGCTTCACGAAATAGAGTCGAGGTGACAAAAGTAGCAGCAACACTTCTCGGACGTGAATAGCTATTGCGATGTGAAACTGCCCAAAACTGGGAAAGGCAAACGCGAAAAGAAACAGACACAAAACAGGTTACATATTGCATATCATACCTGTCTATTTCGCCAACAGGGGGGGTGATACCTACTGCGAAGACGAAGACCACCGCACCGGTGGTACCTGCGAGGCACCCTGCTACAATTGCGTGCAATCGTCGATCCCTGCATGGATGTATCGAGCCCTTCGAATTGTGCAATGAGGCCGTAGACTAAGCATTCTCTAGGGCCAAACCCTTGGCTCCACTCCCTTCGACAACGAACGACACCATGCTCCAAAAGCCCCGCGACGTGTTCTTGTGGCATCATGCAGTCGGCACCAACCTGCTTAGCAATCTCGTCCTTGATTGAGGTATGCTGCGCCTCCGCTATCTGCGTCCGAGCGTTCCTCTCCGCCTTCTCCTTGTTCTTCAAGTCCTACACAAGCATTGGCAAGAACACCGGCCCGGGCACACGCAACACACGGGGAAACGTCACGGCAGGGGCGTGGCAACAAACCGCGATGGCAGCAACCAAGACGACCACCGCAAACGACAGGTAGGTCTCCCACGGGTCATCTGACATCACAAATCTACTACTGTTCTGTAGAACACCAGGTGACCTCATTGAACAACAAAGGCTGTTCACGGCGTCAATTCTTCGCGAAGCAGGTGAGTGGCTCGCAGCCTGATTTCGGTGGCATCCTCCGCCACGAGCAACGTGAGGCCCAACGCATAAACGACACCAAACGCCGAGGTGGAAGTACAGCCACATTTGTAGCGATTCCCCCACGGTTGGGTTAGGGCAGCCCTACTGCCCTTTTTCATGCTGGACATAAATATTGGAATGTGGCAGGAGGCAGCCAACCAAGCACGCCTTATCACGTTTACTCTAAGGTACACCAGCGTACGATCTGTCAGCGCTCCAGCATGCAGCACAGATAGCGTATCATGCCACACAGAAAATACAAGGCATCAGCATGGTGAAGCCCTCATTACAAACAATATCCAACGCAAACGGTGGAATCCGCAGGTAGCAGCATTGGTATCCCAACAAGGTGCGAAAGATTCGTGCGGGCAGCTAAGTCAGTCAATCTGCCGCACAAAGCCTACAGCTGCCGTCCGCCGTAGCTTCTACCTGCAGTTTGTAACTGTACAGCAGCACAACTGTGCTTGGCGTGTGTTTTGTGCGCTTTTCTTGTCTGCCCGTGTTGTACTCCCCCGCTTAAGCCTGCCTCACTTGTCTCTCCTGGCGGCGGGCCTTCTCCTCCTCGGACAGCTGCCGCGGGGGGCCCATGGCCTTGGCCTTCGGCTTGGGTTCCTCGCTCTTTGGCCTTCCCCTCATCCGGCTCTCCGTCGTAAGCGACTCCCTCTCCGCGCGCTTGGCCCTCTGGGCCTCGGCGACCTTGTTCGCGTTGCCGGGAAGCAGAGGATGAGGCAGCAACAACAAATTAAAGTCATTCATTGCCTCTGTACGCGGCTACGGGGCACGGTAGGCGGCCCACGGTCAATAGCCGGGCAGTGTGTTTGTTTGATTTCACCCGCGAAACGCCTGGGGGGGGGGGGGGGCAACC